TATATTATATTATATTATATTATATTATATTATGGTATATCATATTATATTATATTATATTATATTATTACAATATATTATAGTAACTCTATTCGGCGCGTATCTGTATAAGGGAAAAAGAGATATTCTATATAACATGTAGGTTTTAATAAATTTTAATAATCATATACTCCTCCCATTTATGTATAATAGCAAAAATGATTTTAAAACGCAACAGTTTACGAGATATTAATTGGTTGCGATTTTCTATGCGAGTTATATACCGCATTCATAAACGTGGTCTCTGAAAACTCCGCATGATCGAGCGCGTAAGGTGCGAGATCAGTATGTTGGAGATCCCACACTCGAATCCTGCTTTTTACCCCTTTTTTCATATATTTTCTCGCGAAATCAGTAAAGTTATTAATAAACATATTAGGGCAAATATATTTTAATATAATTATTAAATTTATACGTGCATTTTTAAAAGTGTCAAACCAACAACTGTAGAAAAAATACCGAACCACTTTATTCAATAGGCAAATAAACAATTATTTTCGAATTGCACAATACGTAAATGCTTTTTAATTTGTATGTTATAAAATTACAATTTAAAAGTACACGAATAATTGCAATAATCATATAAGAATATATTGTTTGTCCTAATCGTTTACTGGTAATTAATGTAATTACTTATTTCAGAAAAATATTATATATTTACTATGAAAAGTTGTTCGCTAATTTTGTAAATTTCGGACGCGATTTTATTAATGAATTTTTGTAAATTTATAATCGATATATTTATAGACCGAGTTTATATTTAAATAACGTACAAAGTTTATCTCACACACATGCTTTTATCGCCGGTTTAGTGTATTTTAAGATATGTATAAGATGACATTGTATAATGTGAGATCGCGTTATGAATGTTAACCTATGAATAATAAATATATCACATATTTCAGTAAAAAGGTGTTTTACTTATATTGCTTATTTCAATATTTTATGTGATGTGACGTTTCCCAAACATCACAAAGTCTAAAATTGATGACATAAGACGTCTTTTAGACGTAAAAAATATCTTATGACTCGATTTTAGTTGCCTGGGTCCTTTTCGTTGTCTGGTTTCTTTGGCATTCGTTTATTATACAAATATCATTTAATATAAATGTAATAAGGAATCGTTTTTTATTATTTTCCACAGCAAATTAAGATCGGCAAAAGTGCATTTGGCTCAAAGAATTCGAAATTTCTAAAATGAAATGATACACTAAGAAACTAATTAGTAATAATTTCAAATATTTACGTATATACGAATTAATTAACCGCATAATTGTCGAATTTTTATTAAAACATTACGTCTCTCAATATACGTTGCAACCGCACTCACGAGCGTGGTGTCACTTCGTCGCGCGTCCGCGAGTATTGCTCTACCTCTCCTTCGGCGATACTTTCGCGACAACAAAAAACTCCACGCCACAACGGCTCTCTCAAATGTTACATACTCTAAATTTCACGTCAATAATTGGGCGCCAGGCACGGGAGAGCGTGCCACTCTTTTTGAGGTCTTTTCGGTACGTTCTCACTCTAAAATACAGAGATGTAGAGACTTACGAATGCGGACGGCTCTGATAACCGACTGCTCAGCCACGAGAATGGCAGAGGGGGTGGTTCGTGGTCGGGAACGGAGGATCTTTGGAGAACGAGTAAGGCGAAAAACAGTAAAATAGACAGAATTAATAACAGTAAGATAGTAACAAGTGTATTCTTTACGCCGATCATACAGTTTCCGACGTACAGGCAGACGGATCGATTCGGCGATATGCCAACGCGCTGGTCTCCGCGATACGTTCGCGACACGCGGTATTAAGTGACCGCTTCCCTTTTCTGATCGGCGAGTTCTCGGCGCTAGCGTAATTTTACGCGGCGCACGTATCGCGGCTACGGAGATCCATGGCGTAGTTAAAAACCCTTCGGAATGTGTGAACACGCATGAACATCCGCTGTAGTCTAGGATCTACGACGACGACGATAGTAAACGACTCGAAACAATGCAGCAATACGATACTAAATTACAGCACAGCAATACGATACAAAATTACAACGCGACGACACGATACAACATGATAACGCGACCATACGATACAAAAGTACGACGCGACGATACGACATAAGAGTGCAACGCGGCGATGCGATACAAAATGACCTAGCTGTGGCAGCGGCGGGCGTGCGAAAAACTGACTCGAAATGGCAACGAAACCACGACAGTATCGGGCGGGATGGCACGATCACGCGGTGCGCGCGTGCAGCCGCGACGCAGTTATTCGCGAAAGGATCCAGCCCCACGGGATCCAACGACAGGTTCGCGGATGTGTGCGATCCCTCCAATTTGGAAATCGGCGGCTTTACAAAAATTAAGTTCGCCTCACCACAGAATCCTCTCGGTACTCGCTAGCTTTAGTCCTCGTCC